TGCAGCCAACCTGCATTCCAAGAGAAGCTTGCAACTTGGCCACTATGAACATTCGTACTTTAATGACGATCTAGGCCTAACTGATCAAAGGAGCTAATTTGATCATATTTTAATATTATCTCCTGCAAATAGTGTCCTAGCATGTCTCGCCAGTGCTGAATTGCCAGCCAGAACTAAGATCTATCAAAAAAATGGCGATATTCTTTTTGTTGCGAGAGCCTACAACGGAAGATGCATTATGCAGTGGCTTGCAGAACTCCTCGCTGCCTTGCCTACGCAGTTGGCAGAAACGGACGAAAGGATGCCCATCATTACACTTGCTATGCACCGTGTTTGCAACTGGCATGCCCCTCATGATGTGACCAGCTGGTGATGCCGGTCGACCCATTTTTAGGAAGCATCGCAGTCATTGCAACGGTTGATCTAGTCCAATTGCTGTTGGCTTTGGCATTCCGCACAAAAACTAACGTACGACTCATGAGTTGGCAGATCAATCCATTGATCGGTCTTCTTTTCCACAAACTCGTATACAGTTACAGCATCTCTATATTTGCAAAGTTGTATGCCTGCAAGCCAAATAACCCATATAATATATGTGTGTGTCCTCGATGCTTTTCAATTGAACTTATATTTTGGGTGAGCAAGGTCGATCGACAGTTGACATGTCTTCTGCAGTGACCACACTTTCCCTCCAGAGCTCCCAGTTTAGACCAGCTAGGTTGCATCTCAGCCGGTTCCAGCATGGCATTGAAGCCGCCGGGCGCTTCATGATGCTTGCCAGCAGCGCCCAACAAGCGCGCACATGAGCTCAGCCGATATAGGCTAGCTAGGTCATGGATATAATGTATCATGTTGTGCGTAAATTAAACATTTTGCAAATATACAATACATGCGCATGTTTGCCATGCAAGCCTATTTCGCCTCGATCGATGTCCCACCCCCCCACTAGAGTAAATCGTACGTACCTTTCCTGATACTACTTGGCCTCTCCTGAGGACAACAGCTGAAGCCCAAGATGTATACCACCATGGTACATCTTTTGTCCGCCTGTGGTTGAGATTGGCCCGAATATCATTGAGGCCTGGTTTGTTTTGGTTCGTCGATCTTCTAAGTCGATCATGTAAAAAGAGAGTCAGCATCTTAGCTATTAATTATATCATTCATGCCTGCATGCAAGTGCATGCAAGTGCATTATGTGTGTAGAGAAGTTGTAGTAAAGTTGTTGACCTTCTTTAAAATTGTACATTTGAGACTATTCTTTTAAACATGCAGTTCAATACCTGTTGCGAGTTGCATTCCAACTGGGCGAGGCAAAACAAACAAGAGTGGTATGTGCGCCCCAAGCTTCATGCGCCTTGGCATAATATTATAAGGCACGATACTAGCGGTGAAGGTTGCCATGTTGCATGGCTGTCACTTAATTAGCTTTTACACTGGCCTAGGCATTTATGCATATTTGCAGCATTGTTCTCAATCACAGAATCTTGGCAGGAATGGCCACAACATCGATCAAGAAACGGAAACATTGTATATACCCCAGCATTCATACGAGTTCCAATTACTGGAACTGATTGAGGATCTAATCCCAGATATTGGCACTGCTTTGCTGACGAAGATAGCATGGCCTGGGTGAAGAGCCACTCTGAAAAAATATTGTTTCTTTTTTGGTGGTGTTTTTGGTCATACATGAGAATAGTATAACAGATTAAAAACAAGATCGGCTTTCGAGTGCAGTGGGCCCAGGCACATATCTGAAAGCGCATGCCCTTCACAGAGTTCGCTGGATAACACGTTGTGCTAGGCTCCGGAACCTTTTTGTGCAATAGTACTTACTAGCTATGCAACTCTTTTGACTGACTTAATTGACAAGATCTCTGGACTAGATTTGGAGATGGTTGTTGATGGGTCTTTGTCTGCCCAATCATCTCAACTTAGGATTGCAGCTACTAAGATCAAAGTGAGAATGTTTCTTAGCTGATTGAGTGCTTCACAGTTGTGCAACTGCCTGCATCGGAGAGTTAGTGTTTGAAGGATACGATATAGATCGATCGATCTATGATCTATTAATGTCATCTCCCTTTGCCCGCCCAGGTTGAACAAATCGGTGGCGGCACGCATCGCCAAGGGCAAAGCGTGAAAAGTTACCAATGTGGGAGCATGGGCCGGGCATGAAACCATGAGACCAAGCAACCGTGATCCACCTCGACCATTTCCAAAATAGTACTTCATGAAAGTGCTATTGTTTAAATCGCCTTTTGAAGCCTGGGGTATATACAACCGGGGCCCGAGAGTCTGAAGCCTCAAAAGGCCTGCGAACGCG